AGTGGAGTATTTACATCTTTATTACTTTTTTATATACTTATTTTTGGATCAAATGCTAATAAATAAACCAAAATGCCCAACACAAGGATCTTATCAGAGATCATACAAGGGGAGATTCTTACTCAGGCAGTTGAAAATGTTTAAAATGGAAACTACAGCCTTCATGCTGCTGTGCACTGTAGTAATCCTCCTTCACAATGTGAATGGGACATGAGCTGTGGGAATTGTCTCACAGAATTGCATGAGAGGAGAAGGACGGTTTCAACATCTACTTTCTTTTGAGGACCTACTGTCCAATTTTCTTTGAATCATGGAAAAGATGGAGTTTGACCTCTCAAGAGAAGAGGTTATGGACATAGTACAATGTTTTGTGAAAGAAAATGATATGAAAACCAAGTTATTCCAGAATTATTCAGTAATTTCTCAGGTAGGTACAGTCTTTCCATAAAGACATTTTTGGGAGTGGGTCGTGAAGTATTTTTTAAATACTTTTTGTGTTCAGAGATAGAAAATAGGTTCAAATTTTCTGAAGAAATTACTAGAGGATTTTGTGGGAATTCAGAGCAGTGATTCTAGTCACTCTAGGGAATGGGGTACACACAACACTGAAATATAAATTTAAAAAAATTCATATTTTATCATTTACGTTGAAAAACTGTATTACACATGACTTTTGTGATCAATAGATCATGACAAATAATACTTTCAATTTTTTGTGCAGTTAAAAAAGGAAGAAAAAACATTTCCAGAGTAAACTAAGCTAAGTATGTTGTAAAAGTATGGCCCCGTTACTCAAACTTACATTACATGAAATCTTAAAATGTTGAAAAAGATGGAAATATAAAATTAGAGAAGGTACTATTTTTGAAATATCATGATATAAAAAGCATTGCTGACAGATTAGGAGATCACACCAATATGTATTATGCTTTACTATACTAGCTAAAAGAACTAATAATGAATTACTAAAAAAATAAGAACCTCTAGTGAAAGAAATCCAAAAATAGGTGAAACTATAGTATTATGCAAAATATGAATGGTAAGCATCATATAAGGTGTACTAACAACAGGAATGAGATGAAAAATGTTCACAAGCAAATTGAGAGTTGAAGGATCTTTAAGACATAGAATTTTTGTGAACCCTTGAGAAAATTATCAACAGCTTACTTGAATTTCAATATATATCAAATCATTTTAATTTATAACCATTTATTATAAAAAACGTGTAACACAAGATATAAATTATTCTAAAGACTTGTAACTGATGCTTGTACATTTTTTTCATGTGTGATTTTGATCTTCTCCCAGCATGTAGCACTCAATAACATTAGTGCCAAAAGTAAATAATCCATATTTTCAAATGTGGGCATTATTATTTGAGTGTCTGTCAAAATATCTAGAATGAAAAGAACTGTGATAAAAATAGATATCAGAAAATAATGTAAAAACTGGAGTTTGAAAAATGATGAATTTTCTTAGTTAACACAGTTTTGTGAAGAAATAGTTGATTATCTCTTCTTTCTTTATATGTTGGTTGACTGCAAGGGCTAGTTCTGCACTTATGAATAAGAGTTGTATTTTGAGTGGGTAGATAAAAAAATACTTTATTCTCTCTCTTCCAAGTGTCAGTATCAGTAAGTACAGTACTTACAAACAAAAACATAATGTAATTATAAGAAAGTAACTTGTGTTATATAATTAAGATACTCTGAAAATGCACCATACATAATGATAATGAATGAAGATACATGTCATAGAAATACATTTTCTAATGCTACTCAAGTGGTTATTATAATACCGCTCCCTCCCCATTTCCGGTTCTCTCACTCCCAAATGCACTGGGATCAAAGAAAACATTGCTTGTTGACATTTGTTTCTTATGCAGATTCATTTCATTAAAGTTTGTGATGACTTGACATAAATATAAGTCATAGATAATTACTACTACTATTACTACTACTACTACTACTACTACTACTACTACTACTACTACCACTACTACTACTACTAATAATAATAAGAAAGAATATTGATAAAAAATAAATAACGAACTATGTTAAAAATATTATTACAAAAAGCTAGTTTTCCTAATTATAAGTGAATTTAATGGCCTTAAAAATAAGTGCATATGATTTGAGACTGATATACGAGATAATCCTATTTCTCAATTGTAAAGATATTTAGAAAGAAAAGTCAATTCCTTTCAGAAGATTCATCCAACATTTCTCTCGTAGGTACTCTAGGAATGTTTCAAAAGTGAAAATCATAGAAATTTTGCAACATCACACAGATTGTCTCTCTCTAAAATTCTTCTGTCCTTCTCTGCATAGCCATCAGCCATAAACGGTGGAGAGCAGCCTAACATGATACTTCCTACTGGTGGATTCTGAAATACTTCAGGGGCGGTAATATCTTATGACACCTATGATTGCAAAAAATAATAATTTAAAAAACAATGTTAGAAAGTCATACACAAATATATCATTTCTTAAAAGTGTACTGATTATTTTCACAATAAATTACAAATGGTGCACCTATCTCAAGTTATGTGTCATCTTTATTTCATCTTTTTTGTTATATTGTAAGGCACAAAAAATGTTAGGGAGACGTGGAATCAAATGCGTTTCAGAACTTGTCCATGATAAATGAGAATTTTAAGAATATTAGGAATATACAATGCATGTTAGTTGACTCCAGATTTCCAGATTCTCTTTGCTCTTTCTCTGCTAGTGGTACCAATTCTTCATGTTTACAGTCAGTTGATATTCCCATTTATTAAAATTAGGTACTTAAGGGGAACTAAATAAAAACCTATAATAGGCATTTTATGCCTATAATGCATATACAGGCATTTATCCTACATATGTACATGCTTATACCTTTGAAGTATACTCTTCAAAATGTTTCTTTGTAAAAGCCTTTCATGACATTCATCTAGATTTGCTGACAATGCACAATGGCAAGTTTAAAAATTGATACTTTCAGTGACTTACAGCTGTAATTTGATTTTCAAAACTGTGAAATGTAATAGCACAGAACTAGTAAATAATATGTACAGATAGCCAGAGGCAATACATTATGCATTATGTTTCTGTTATTAAGGGTGGACCAATTTTAAACAGCTAAATTGGATTATCTTTTACCCTAAAGAACAATGTTCTAATGATGAGACATGTATGACACAAAAGAAGTAATCTTTGTAAATTTCTCTGAAAAGAAATTAAGAAAACGAGGAGAGTGCTCAATAAACAATGTAACACCATTCTATTGTGTGACATATTTCAGGAATGTTGATATATTCATAATTAAGAGAGTAATAAAAATAAAAGAATAATATTGCAATGATAATTGTACAAATAATTTAATTTTCTGTGTTGTATTACAGAAGAAAACATTACAACTTTTAGTTTCCAACAAGGAATTTCAGCCTTGCACAGGATAAAAAGCACTTATATTTGTCACAGCTGTATTTGTAGAATAAAAAAATCTCGAGCAATAGAAGATTGCTCAAAATCATCAACCACATATGTGCAACTGAACGTGACGATATTGTAAATTATATTCAATACATGAGTCCAGTGTGGTTTCCACCAGTCTTTGCCATTCTCTGTAACTGATTAGTTTGTGAAGTCAAGAAAGTGTCTGATATTGGCAAACTCTTCAGATACTTATTAGTATTCAGCACATGGTGTTTGAAGAATAAAGTACTGGCAAAACATGTGCAGCGTACATGACCACTTTCTTAACTTAGCATTCATGCAATGTTGAGAGTGAGTGAGCTCTGCAGAACTATATACAATATTTTACAATGTAGCACATCGGGTACATGGAATCTCCAACCTTCAAGTGCAAGTTCAGTGAAAAATTAGCTTATTGCTTTCACTCTTATATTGCAATTCAAATTCAGCCACACAATACTTTTTTCTTGTACTGTTTGAATTATAATTCCATTTCCATTTTTTCCTAGTGTAGTGTTGCAATGAACTTACTACTGGTCACTTGTGCCAGGAAATGGAAAATTATGCAGTCATCCTCGAGGAATGTTTCCTTTGAATTCATTAGTTTTTACTGCACAAGGACTGGTAGGTAGGTGTCTGCAGTTAATATATGTAGGAATTAAGTTAAGCAACTTCAATTTTGTTTATTTAACAATATTTGTGTTGTTACAAAAACACTAAGAATTCAATAATTTAAACAAATAGCTGCTGGATTATTTGTTCAGCACCTATGAGCCAAATGTTTCTTCCTTTCCACCACTACAATGCATCAAATACTAATATTTTCCATTGCTCTGTCACCAAATGGAAATAGAAATAATTGTGAGATTATATTGCTTCTTAGGTGACATTTGAATAATGTAGGATAGAGATGGTGTATATAATTAGAAGTAGGTGTTGACACTTTACACACTTCTTCAATTTCCATTATGATGCAAAGAGAACTGCCTTTATCTTTTAACCCATAACATATTTTAACCTTAATTTAAGAGTTGAAATGGATAGCTCATATGTCAGTCATTTGAATTATTCTCTATTCATGTTTGTCCAAGCAAACATTTATCCATTTTGTAAATCCTGAAGCCTCTATTATGCCTTCTCTTCAGCAACCTGGTGGTTGTAAAGCTACAAACCATGTAAGATACAAATTTTTAATTTCATGGAAATAGCCACATACAGGGAAGTTGTGGTCCTTTCCTGTGTACACACTACTAGGCAAGTTTTTCCAAGCAAATGATTTTTCTGAAAGCATTTCATTGTATACATATCACTAGATAGTGGTTCCTGACATGGACGTAACAAAAGTGCTTGGCATGTGATAAGAAAGTTTGCATGAAAAAGCCTTGAAATGCCAGTGTTATAATATTGAATTATATCACTTTCTGAGTAAGGCTCATATTAAGCAAATATACTTTGTAATGCTTATACATAAAGCATTCAGTTGAGTAGTAGATATAAATATCTGTCACAATGTATACAGGAAAGGAAAAGAAAGAAGGCAAAAGAAGCATGTTGCTTCTGTAACACTCCTTCTATTATTTTCTTTCATGCATACATTAATTTCCAAGGATGCTGAAATAATAAATAGAAAAATTTATGATTCAATGAAGAGGATTAGAAACATAGACTTAAGGCATACTATATAAAAATTATTGAAATTTTAAATGATTCAGAATGTGTTTTTAAATAGATAGCAAATAAAAGGAATATTTAATGAAATGTGAAGTATAGATACCAAAAGACTTGCCTTTGAAATGTCAGGCTGAATACAACCTAGTGCAGTTCGTTTAAGTTTTTGAAAATTTACAAATGTCAGTGTTTCCTTGTGCAGTGGCTGAGAACTGAGGCAGCTTGTGTCTAAACGTCGGACGTCTTGCTGATGGGCCCCTGGCCGGGAGAAGCAGGGCCTCCGGAGCTCAAACAGCTGCCGCTGCCCGAGTCCTGCAAAAACACAATCATATTATTACAGGTAGGGAAAAGACCACAGGAGAAATCAAGGAAGCTATCTCTATCTCTCTCTGCATATATATATATATATATATATATATATATATATATATATATATATATATGACAACAACATAACATCTGTTCTGCCACCAGGTTCTATACCTACCTGCATACCTGCAGAAATAATAAATCTATCTATCCATCTAACAACTCCGCCTGTGGAGACCATGACCTTGACGTTGGTGGTGGAGCAAAAGTACACCCGTGACTCCAAGATCTATGCCGACTGCGGCGTAGTTACCGGCGGGGCCTCCCTTGCCAGACTGGCCGAAGGGTAAGTTCAGACAAAGAAATAGTTCAGAAGAGAACTTCGAGGTCAAAAACAGGACTGCAGAGCGCACACTTTGAGACAGGAGTAAGCCAACAAGAACTTCTACACGGCAAACAAGATCTGCAGCGTAAACAGGGCTCTGAAGGCGAGAGGGGAGCCCGCCTGTTTAAGGGGGGACACCTCGAATAAGAAATCACTGAAATGGACACGTCAGTTCATGTTAGTGGCGGTACTCCAACAACGTCCGTATCCGATGATAGGGGCGACTGAAAACACGCTGGCAGTAGCTCTAAAATGCAACAGCCCAATGTGAGTAGTCGCATATTGAGAAATAGAGTCGTGGGCGAACGGTCTTTGCAGGGCCGCGCAGAAGGTTCTGCCACCGGGCATTCTGGGTCAAATATGTTATTCGTGGTTAAGTCAGCGGCACAGATCAAGATGCCAGGAGCGGCGCCGCGTCACTCACGGTGATAGAAGAGGATGCTGCACCAACTGTTTCTAGATAAACTTTCTAGAAGTGGTTTGAAGACGGAGCCTTCGGCAATATCGTCCGCCGCTTCAAAATCTAATTGGCCAACGCACGAAATGATCAAAAGAGGTGGATATCTATGTAATGTGTGCTTATCATGAAAGTACAAAAGTGGAGATAGAAAGTGAAGGGTGCAGGGTAAGGATGCACGCAGAGTGGAAGAAAATGTATTCTAACAGCACTCCGAATCAATATGACAGTCAACTCAATTCCATGCAGTGAAGAAATGCATTATCATAAGCTGTATTCGATTAGATAAAACAGCAAATAAGAATGGAATTACGACAAAATGTGATACAAAACTCTCAATCGCAGGCAGCAGAACTAGAGAGAGAACATCTAGAGGTACTGCTGAAGTTCATGAAATAACATCGGTCTCTGATAATGATACGGTTGTTAATAATTTCAGAGAAAAATATCAAAAGTATCATATTTTCTTTCAAGGTATACCACAGCAAAATAGATCGCATATACCAAAAATCCTGAGAGTAAGAAAGAAATTTTATAATGTCTGTAAAGTGTTCAATACAATTTTTAAATAACTAGCCATCACACCTAATTCTATCAAAGAACTAACAGAGCAGGAGAAGTGCATTCTGCTGCCTTGAGTGTCTCTCGGTGTATAGGGAGATATACACCCCAGTTCCGACCACTGAACCGTTCACATCGCAGAGCGCTCGTAAAAGTCGGAACGCTAGCGTCGGTGCGGGCCCGCCCGATACCGACAAACCAGTTTATATTTCAAGTGCTTCTTGTAACAAGTGCAATATGTGAAATATAGTGTTAAACCAGTGCATCGAATAACATTCACCAATGGCATTCGATGTGAATCAATCAACAGGCAACGTAGTCAGCAATACTCTTTACGTGCTACACAACTCCAGCGGTATTCCGCATAGCAACTTCATCAATTTACCTATCTCACACAGAGAAAGTGCTGGAATGTTGGAAATGGAATCTTGTACATCAGAAACTGCATGTTATCAAGACCCATCGCAAGGTACAACGCTTGTAACCTTAGGCAGCCAGCATGAGGTAGACCCAAAGTCAAAGGACGTCAACCACAGAAAAAGGTCAGTAGGCGGGGACGCTTCCAACAGCGATAACACAAAACACAGTGCAAGTGCAAGTGACAGTGACGACGTTAAAAGTTATACACCAGATTTAGCAAGGGCACCACTCACAGACGGCTACAATGTTCCCACAAGCTCCGTAGCCCAAAACTTCAACTACAGAAATGAGACTAGACTTGCAATCTTCATACAATGTCCCAGTAGGGAACATATTTTCGGAATTAGCCTCCAAGGAAATCAATTCTCTTTTCCCAGATAACCGCTTCAACTATCTAAAGTATGATCAATCTTCACAAACTACTACAACCAATAAAATACCCCCAATTTGTATTGCCGAGATAACTAACATCAAATCATTCGTTAATGAAATCAAAATGAACGTATCAGAAAACTTTGTAGCTGAACAAAAAAACAACAAAGTGAAAATAAATCCCAGCTCAGCTGAAGATTTCCGTAAAATCATAAAATAATTAATCAACACAAATATAAGATTCCACTCGTACAAAGACCCTGCAAACAAAAAACTTTTCGGTAGTATTAAAAGATGTCCACATCTCCATAACTGATAGTGAAATCATGCAAGATTTAAAACAAATACATCCATCCATTGTTAAAATTACTCGTCTTCAGAAGGACAGCCATCCCATTCCTGTAATAGCAGCCGAGTTCAACGGCAAAAACTACTGGAAACAATACTCAACATTAATCAAATCTGCTACCTCAAAGTCACCACCGGAAAAAGACCAAAAGGTCCACTACAGTGCTATAGATGTTTGGACTTTAGACACTCTAGAAAAAATTGCAATCACAAAATTAACTATGCAATATATTTTGGTAATCATTATACTGTAACTTGTCCTGGAAGTAAAGCAACGCCCACCTGTATTCTTTGCAAAGGCAATCACCGTGCAGATGTAAGAAATGAGAACTGTTTATACTGTAAGGAAATTGTTGAAAAGAAAATCATCCCACTCAATAACACAAGAAATCCATACCAAACAACACCACCATCATCCCTTAGCAACCAACAAGAACAATTTCCATCACTATCCTCTATCCAGCCAATCCGAAACTTCACTAGGAACAACAACCTTGTAAACCAATCAGGATTCGATAACAATATAAGATCACAGAGAAACTGCACTCAACAAAACCAACAAGATAATAATAATAATAATAATAATAATAATAATAATAATAATAATAATACCATTTTAAATAAAATAATTAATTCTATATCGTCCTCTATTATTAACTCCACAAACTCCCTCAAACCATCAATAATCAATATAATTCAGAATACAGTAACAGCTTTTTTAATAACAATAATGTCAATACAAGTCCATAGAAATATATCATTAACAAATTGGAATGCAAACGGGATAACATCCAAAAAATAGAACTTACTCAATATTTACACACATATAACATAGACATTAGGTGCATAACAGAGACGCACCTAAACAATAGAAATAAATTGTATATTTCAGAATACAACATTTATAGAAATGACAGGACCGAAAAAAAGGGAGGTGGTGTACTAATAGCAGTCAGGAATAATATAAACCATTACGAAATTAATATACATCACAGGAATTGAAACAGTAGCAATAACCCTAACAATGAACAATGAATCATGGAATATAATAACTGCCTATACACCTCCATCGATAAAAATACAACCCCAAAATATACTTAACCTGATCAACCCAAACAAAAAAAAAATTAATACTAGGCGGTCTAAACGCTGAACACACAAGCTGGGGATGCCGCACTAGCAACCAAGCAAGAAAAACACTATCACACATTTTAAACAATACCACTATCAATATACTATCCCCTCCTGAACCAACATACTACCCAAGAGACGTAACTAAACAAGCAGGCATCGTTGACATCGGTCTGACTGATGGCAATGTCAATTTTTACTCAACTCCATTTCACGAACTCGACTCTGACCATCTTTCGGTAAATATACTTACTCGACAAATCCCATCCCCGCGATCCACAATCCCCAGAATAAACACACTTAAATTAAACTGGATTAAATTACAAAATGTAACCAGCAATTTAATACCAAAAATTAAAATTTTAAATAATTCTATAGAAATAGACAACGCCGTAATATTACTAAACATAATAATACATACAGTAATAACAGAAACGCAGCCCACAAATACACAAACGCTTAACAAAATCAATCATTCAGATCTACCTGCAGAAATGAAAAACATAATATGCGTCAAAAACAGGACCAGAAGACTATGGAACCTAACCAAAAACCAACAAATAAAAGTAGAACTACACATATTAACTTATATAGTTAAGAAATCAATAAAAAAACCATGTAAGTCTCAAATTTCAGAACAAGATGCTATTTTTAACAGCACAAAACAACTCTATATGGAAATTCACCAAACAAATACTAAAAAAGAAAATAATTCTACCCATCAAATCACCGAAAGGCAAATTCACCCCCACCGAAAAGGCAGATCAGGGAAGATCATGTTTGTTAGGCTTTCCTGTATTCGCCTCGTAGTGATTGGAGAAACCACGGAAAACTACCGATTAGAGCAGCCGGCCGCTAGAATTCACTTCCAGACAGCGTTTGAAATGGACCTAGCTATCTAGCCAGTGTCGAAAATGCCTGCCACGTCGGAACTTGGGACCTCCCGGTGAGAGGAATCAAAAGTTGGAAGCAGATGAATTATAGCGTTTGGACCGAGAATCAAGCGATACAGTGAAGCATAAAAAAGATTGGCCTTGGCTGTCTCTCAGAGTATAGGGAGAGATATTGAATACAATAAACAAAAACCGGAAATTCTCTCACACCGAGGCTTGAGAGTGTGCCACACCTCTGACACAGTATTTCTGCAAGGGTGCGGACATCTCCAAAAGGGCGGAAACGGAATCAAGTCGATCGGTAGGAAGTTGAAAATTAGAATGTGCTCCAGAAATCTGGAAGTAAATGGATTGCAGCGTTGTGTGCGAGAATCATGCGATTCAGGGAACCATGAAAAACATTACGCAAAGAATCAATTTTTGCTGCCGTGAAGAATAAAATACAAAATAATAAATAACATCTTCTACCTCAAGGTAAAATGAATTATCGACTGCACTAAACATACTGATGCAGAATTGAAGAAAATGCATAATATTCTGTATGTACCGTGCATACTATACATTGTGCTCTGCATGTACAAGCAGTGGATAAATGTTGAGGAAAAATGAAAATGAAAATTTGAATATTCTGAAATATGTATCCATTTGTGATGGGTGAACAGTAGACTGAATAGAAAGAATGACGCAGAAATGAGAATGTGACAGGAATACATGGAGATATTAGAATCTGGAGATAATTGAAAAGAAACTAGTGGTGCTCGACAGCACATACTTTCTGGTATTATTCGTAAAGGATAGGTAATATTGTAACATTGCAAAATGTATTCTATTAGTTCGTCGGCCATCCCGTAAAGTACTCAAAGTTCGAATCTCACAGCTCGTGATAATTTGGGAGAAATAGAGAATAATATATTGCCAGATACATTGTTGTTGATCACATTTAAATATATCCCCCAAAAACGCTGCATCTACGTATCCATTGCACTTCGTGTAGAACGATTTGAGGAAGTTCATGAGGAATATTAGTAGCGCTTGTCAACAGAAAGTAGGCCAGGCTCAAAATCATCAGATCACAATTTTGGGCAACGCTTTGATAGAAGGTGACCGAAAATGCGATATCACTTCCCTATTATTCGATCAGCTCGAACCAAGCGATGCAGGGAATAAATAAAAATAGAAGAAATATCAGGAAAGACACTTAAAATCGAAATCAACAAGATGAGGAAGACAAAACATATTACACTGTTTTCTGGAGAATAGCCAGACGTTAAAAGGCGCGTTGGCACGGCACGAATTGTTCCGTGGGGCGTGAGACAAAGTTCGCACCGCAGCGCAGTGGTCAGACGAGCGTGCATTTTGACGACGGAAAGACGAACTAAGACGTTGAAAAAATCTCTGAAGTGCGCCAGTGACCAAAAGAAATGTTATACAGAGACGAATGAAAGTCGGGAGATCTACGACGGCAGGAAGGGCGGTCGGATGGACGGGGAAGTTGACGTCTGGGCGACAGCACTCACCTGGCCCTGGTCCAGCTCGTCCAAGGACTCGAGTCGGGCGATGGGCGCGACGGGGGCGTCGCCGAAGTCCCAGGGCGGCGCGCCTATCCCCCCTCCTCCTCCGCCGCCGCCCACCAGCGCGCCCGCGCCCGGGGCGTCCGAGCGCGCGGGCGGCACCGCGGGCGGGAAGTCGAACGGGAAGGGCAGCGGCGGGGCGGGCGCCGGGGCGGGCGCGGGGGCGGCAGCCGCCGGCCAGCCGGAGGCAGCGCCCGCCAGCACCTGCGCACACGCGCGGCGCTCAGCACGCGAACGCACGGGCGGCGGCGGCAGCGAGCTCCTTCCCACGTGCAGGCCGCACCCTCAATGCAGGCTTCCCGCTAACCCCAGCACCACACCCTCTCCCTCCGAAAACAAGCCACCGTATACGGCAATGTGACTCATACATATAACGACATAGGTAACATCGAGATTTATCTCGTGGGTAGATATACTATTCAAAACTATGCATTATTCTTTTATTATTTGTAAAAATTTCAAACTTGTAATTGAAATTAGATAATGAATTTTTTGAAGCCCTTTTTAAGAGAGATATCATTATTCACATATGGTGGTTCATCCAATGTCCCTTCATATCCAGAAAAAATACTCAAATTGTCTCTACTTTATTTCCGGTCTGTAAAGATAAATTTTATCTCCCTCAATTTTATTTTTTTACGTTTTACGTTTTATCTCCCTATTTTCGGCATAAATAACGCCATGCGTATTTGATATAAACATCGTCCCGGATCGTTTCATTTAAAATTAGGTTCCACAAACTATAAATTTAGTCTCGTAGATATTTATTTGTCTGATATTTTTCGTGTAAAAATTATTTCGAAGCATTTTAAAAACCAATTCATCAAAATGATATATTTTGATGGATAATATTGGATGTACATATAACCAATGGAAAATATGACATAATCATATGACGAAAGCTTTGGGATCTTGAATTTTCATGTTAATGCCAAACGAAGTTTACATTTACTAATAACAACTTATCTTTGCAATGAATGGCATGGCAAGATGCATTGACTTTTACTGAATGTTTGTGCTTCATTGTGAATGAGATATCAGCAGGCGATGTCATGTTTTGTAATCGCCCTTTCCCTTAAAGGAAGAGAAAAGTGAAAGGTTTGGTGTGAACATTCATTTCCTTGAAAGGAGATTTACAATTTAATAGGTAATGGAGAGAGGAGTTAGAACATTTTTATATCTGCGGAGAAAAAATGCATTTCCTTTAAAACATAATGAATTTTTTACATACTATAACTAAATATATACTATAACTAGATATGAATAAAAGTGTAACAACTAAATATGAGGTTTGGGAAAAATACGTTTAGGAGAACATTGAGTGATAAATTCATTGTATTTTTTAAAGGGATTTACTCTTTTCTAGCATTATAATACAATGTTCCAGTTCAATCACGAAAATTGACATCATGTTTTTATTTGAGACCATGGAATTTGAATTCACACCCATTTGGCTTATATATTCTGAGCGGTGGAATAGTAAATACTTATCTTTCAGTACAAAGTTCAGTACCAAGAACACATCAAAACATATAACCTTGGTTTAATAAAGACCTTACCTGTTAATATCACAAATTATATTAAATTATGTAACATTAACATTACTCATTTCACAAGCATACAGCTAAAATATATTTTCTTTAGCACACATTTTTAGAACCAAAGGCGAAAATACTTATCATATACCGAAATACAAAAAAAAAGGTTTTCATAAATTAATGACATGTAGTGCATTTGTTACTTGATCCTTGAATGATAATTTGTAATGGGACACACGTCACGAAAATTGCAATTAGCTTGATCAACTTTTTTAGGGCGTTCACAATTTACAACCAGTTTTCCAACGGTTCTAGAGAGAAAAAACTCAAATTGTTTATTTCTTGCTTCTGGGTAGGTAAATAAAGGTCTTCTTTTTAGGATTACTCCCCCTCGACTTGCAGCGAAAACAACTATGTCTAAAAATTGACTTCTCAACTTCAAATTCCTCAACTAATCCGACCTTCAAATATATCTTCATCCCTTTGAAAAAGATTACCATTCAATTCATGTTAAGTGTCCAAAACCACTTAGAGAAAGAATCCCAATTTATCAAGATGAATTTAATATTGAAATTCCTCACATTCGACAGAGAAGGACTCACCCCATCCCCCCTTAGTAATCCTTTAGACGCAAAGCGTACCCTAACTCCTTAAGCGGTGAGCGCTTTGCAGTAATCCTCCGTTATTAAGCGCTCTCTAGGGGTTGCTGTGTAGTCATAGTCAAGTCAGGGAATCGCCGACACGTTAGCGTCTTCGCGCTCACGTCTCGCCCATCGGCAAGAATTGGGAAGGAATAAGGATAGGAGTAAGGTTGATGACGCTTCACAGGGGTCGGACAGGCTTCTGTGAAGCAGTCAAACTAGTTTCTAAACTAGTTTCGTGGTAACAAATTTCACATAAGGTTCTACGGGCGTTCAACGAGACTTCTACGGGGATTCTACGGGAACCGAACCCGGAACCTCAATGGTGAAAGGCAAGCGACTTCGCCACTGACCCATGAGAACATTAATCCTTTAAACCTGAGGTTTATATAATGACTGCACAGATTACAAAATCCTTAATCTCTCCAAAAATAGTTTCATCGCATCTACATTCTCTTTATGAAGACTATCATGATTTAGAAAAGGTATATACTGATGGATCAAAATATGAAAACAAATCATGTTGTGCAATTGTATCTACAATCCCGCTCAATCCCTTTAAATTCAGGTTACTAGCATTTTTCTAGCGTCTTCTGTAAAGCCTGGGCCATTCTTAAAGCTATTAAATTAGTATCCCAAAATGGAGAAAACAGCAAAATAGTGATTCACTCAGATTATATGGCTGCCTTGAATGCAGTATTCAACATATTCTCTAAAAATTCCATACTCTAAAGAATTCAAGGACATTTATTTACACAAGTAAACAACGGCACGTTAATCTCAATTGTTTGGATTCCAGCACATAAAGGTATAGAAGGGAACGAAAAAGCAAATAAAGCGACTAAAGAGAAGCAACTTCATTACCAACAACAGACAAGAGTGTGAAGGGAGTTCTCTCCGATATCAAACTATACTTTAAAAATGTGATTACGAAACAGTGGAATGATGGATACCTTAATATAAAGACCCTCCTTTACCTACATCTCATCTAGAATAATCATTCAAACATGTTATTAGTATCAAAGGCTTATATAATGTAAATAAATATGTGTATCTCAATAATGTAAGTACCCAAAATATTAATAATTTTTGACCATTTATATGCTTGTATGAATTGTATGTAATTGTGCAATGGAATAACTGCAAAAAATGAATATTCTTGTGTAAATCAATTAAACTTGAGTTGATTATGTGGTTGATTATGACCCAGTTGTTGAAAAGCGACCTTAAATAAATAAAATTAAAAAAAGGTCTTTTTTCTTGAAGATACACATGAATTCCATTTCGAAATTCACATTCCATTTTACTATGAATAAATATTAATGAAAATAAATGATTTTTAGGCGCATTCAACCTGCTTTTCAATTAGAACACGCAGATAAGGGCCTATCTGCATAAACGTCTTATTCGATTAAAATGATTGATTCTGTGTTCCTTTCGAGTCTCAGGCTTGAAGGTTGAATTTGCAGTAAATGAATTGCCGATTAATTCGTAGGTAGTGGAATATCAAATTTTGCCGTCAACCATATTATCCTACCAAGATTCTATTTTAGGCTACAAGCCTACAAACGTCTAGCCGGCTTCCCTCCGAAATAGGAGCCCCTAAAGATGTTCATTACTCTCAAACTCATCGTCTCGTCAGGGATGAAATCCACAATCAGATACTATAGACATTCCCGGAAGTCATCATAATTATCATTTCTGACAGTATATTTCTAAAACCTATCACATTATACTACATTATGTTCTTGCTTTTGACTCACTATTTTACATTAATGAATTTTAATATTTTTTTTTCGGTTATCCAAAAAAATGTTATTTTTTACTTGAATTCTGCTTTTATGTTCAGTTCTTTAACACGTCTTGTTTTAAAACTGATTCACACGTGCAACCGTGAATTGATGCCGGGCAACACCATAAAATATGAATTTGCAATCGCCAAGTGACGAAAACGATTGGATCGCAGAGCTCCGAGGAGCAAATCCAGAGAAGTTGAATGAGGTGAGTGTGAGGTGTGTGGTAAGGGAGGGGAAGGGCGAGGGTCTCACCTTGGCGTCGAAGGGAGGCAGTGCGAAGCCGGCAGCGTGCGACGCCTTGACCACAAGGGAAAATTCTTATTTTCTATATTAAAAACGAAGTATGTGAGAGAACAGTTACTCCTCGAAAGATGAAGCTTTGTTTTAGAACGGATAAAATGCTTTATGCAGACGTCAATGAATTTTGCAGTTTGACATTTACAAAGATAATAATGTACTTATTCTACAAGATAATTTGCAAGTAAACTGTTACTATATTAATAATAAACACATGTATGTTTGATGTATCAATATACAAACTAGTTTATTAGTCAATATATCTTAAATGTTTTTCACAAACCTGATTTTTAATTTTTAGAATTTCCTCGATAACCTATGCATTTTCCACATTCGGTTTCCGATAATTGAGATTCATACTGTTTAATAGAAACTTTTAAAAATGTAAGTTATATTCAATTAACTATAATTTCAATTAAAATACATCATTGTCTGTACATATTTCTCCTTCTCATGCTTGATGTCTAACCTGACTGAATGAGTACTGTGCTAATAAGGCATTTTTGTTGAAGTGGCGGAGACATGGGGACTAAGGGATCAGAAATGGGGACTTCTGAAGGGTAAGTAACGCTTTAGAAAGTTAGCAGATGGGATAGAAAAGTAAAATAAAAGATAGAAGAGAGGAGGGGGAGAGGGAGATGAGAGGTGGACACGTTAATGAAAACCGCGCACTACGAGAGCTCGCTTCTTGATTAAATTCCAGAATAAATCTAAGTCTTCAATAGAAGAACTTTCACATGTCAGAAACACTCTTGTCTTCATTTTATTCATCCGAGCAGAGGTTTATTTGTACTAATAAAACTTCAAAACTTGTCATGCTGTGAGAGTGAGAAAAAATATAATTTGAAATGCAAAATTAAGACAAAATAGTTATTTACATACAATACTAAAGAATAAGTTATATTGCTTCTAAGGACTTTTTGGGAACGAGT